TGAGTTTGGTTTGTTCCTGTTTTTCTAGTTCCTTGAGGTGTGATGTTAGGTCGTCAATATGCCATCTTTCAGTCTTATTAACATAGGCATTAAGCACTATAAATTTTCCTCTTTGTCCCAGAGGTTTTGATAACTTATTTCAGTGTCATTCACCTTGAAAAAATTTTTAAATTTTCATCTTGATTTCATTGTTGACCCAAGGATGATTCAGGAGCAGACTGTTTAATTTCCATGTTTTTGTTTGGCTTCACAAGTTCTTCTTGCAGTTAATTTCTAGTTTTATTCCACTGTGGTCTGAGAAGTTGCTTGATATGATTTGTATTTTTTTAAATTTATTGAGTCTGACTTGTGGCCTAGCATGTGGTCTATCTTGGAGAATATTCCATGTGCTGGTAAGAAAAATGTATATTCTATAGTTTGGGGGTGGAATGTTCTGTAGATGTCTGTTAGTTCTGTTTGCTCTAGGGTCTAGTTTAATTCCAGTGTTTCTTTGTCAACAGTCTGCCTTGATGCTCTGTATATTGTTGTCACTGGAGTGTTGAAGTCTCTCACTATTATTGTATTGCTGTCTATCACTTTTCATTAGGTCTAATAAAATTTATTTTATAAAGCTCGGGACTCTGGTGTTAGATGCATGTATATTTAAAATTATTATGCCTTTTTGTTAGATTGATTCCCTTTATCATTATATAATAGCAATCTTTGTCTTTTTTTTACTGTTGTTTATTTAAAGTCTGCTTTATCTGAAGATAACGGCTATTCCTGCTTGTTTTAGTTTCCATTTGCATGCAATATTTTTCCCCCCAGCCCCTTTACTTGAGTTTACAGGAGTCTTTGTGTGTTAAGTGGGTCTCTTGAAGGCAACAGAAACTTTAGTGTTTTTTTCTCCTAATCCATTCTGCCAGTTTATATCTTTTTAGTGGGGCATTGAGACCATTTACATTCTGAGTTAATAATGATGTGTAAGGTACTATTCCATTCATCATACTATTTTTACCTGGTTGCTTTATTTATTTGTTTGTTTGTTTCTATTGTGTTGGTGTTCCATGAGGCCTGTGAGCTTTATGGTTTCCAGCGTTTTTCTACTGGTATGTTTAGACTTTTTGTTTCAGCATTTAGAACTCCTTTGAGAATTTTTTGTAGAGCCAGTATAGTGGTGACAAATTCCCTCCATGCTTGTTTGTCTAAGAAAGACTTCATCTTTCCTTCATTTATGAAACTCGATTTTGCAAGATACAAGATTCCTAGCTGGCTGTTATTCTGTTTGAGGAGATTGAAGATGGAGCCCCAGTCCCTTCTGGCATAGAGGATGTCTTCTGATAACTCTGCTGTTAGACTTATAGGTCTGCCATTTTAAGTTATTTGATGCTTTTGTCTCACTGCTCTTCACATTGACTTTGCATAATCAGATGATTATATGCCTTGGGAATAAACTTTTTGCAATGAATCTTCTGGGGGTTCTTTGGTCTTCTTGTATCTGGATGTTTAAATCTCTGGCAAAACCAGGGAAGTTTTCCTCCATTATTCCCTCAAATAGGTTTTCCAAACCTGTTGCTTTCTCTTCCTCCTCAATTCTTGGAGACTTTGTTCCATTCTCTTGATTCTTTCTTCTTTATTGTTGTCAGATTGTGTTAATTCAAAAGTCTTGTCTTCAATTTCCAAGTTTCTTCTGCTTGTTCTGGACTACTATTAAAAGTTTCCACTGTGTGTTATACTCCCTAAATGTTTCTTTCAGTTCCAGAGTTTTGGCTTTTTTTTTAAGATGTCTGTCTCTTTGGAGAATTTTTCATCAATGTCCTGAACAATTTTTTTTTAATTTCTTCATTTTGGTTTTCAACTTTCTCCTGAAGCTCATTGAGGAATTTTATAATCAATCCTTTGAATTCTATGTCTAAAATTCTAAGATTTCATTTTGGTTAAGGTTCATTGCTGAAAGGTTAGTGTAGTCATTTGGGAGGGTTGAAGAACTCTGTTTTTTCATATTGTCAGAATTATTTTTCTCACTCCTTCTTATTTGGGTAGACTATTTCTTCTTATCTGGCATTGGCATGTGGCTGATGTAGGCACTGTAGGGTTTCCCTTGGTTATATTTAGCCATAGTGTAGTGAGTTTCTCAATTGCCAACTGTAGCAGTCCTGTGCTAGGTACCTGTACTGGTTGGCAGCATCTTGAGTGGTTTGGAAAGTGGTGTTTGTTGGGGTTTGGGATCAGGCCTTCCCAAAGCTGAGATTTTGAATCAGATGTGATGGTCTGTGCTGTTGATCTCCAGCCAGGAGGTGGCGCCTGTGGGAGCAATCCTGCTGCAATGTTGACTGTGGGCCTTCTCTTTGGTATGTGTTGCTCCAAGTCAACACTCAGCTAATATAGGTGAAGGGCGGACCACTGGGATCACTCCACTTCTTTATTTGTTTTGAGCACTAGAGGGAAGTATGAAAGGAAAGGATCCCAAGCACCCCACCTATGCATACTCCCGGCCATCCCAGTGGGGAGTTAGGAGTGAGTCCCAGGTCACTGGGACAACTGCTGCCATGCACGGCGGGCACAGAAGAGTTTACAGCGGGAATGAGAGGTTGCTATGCCAATGTATCCCACCCTGCCTCCTTCCTTAGCCTCAGGCAGTTTATAATCTGGTTGCCTAAATGGAGCCTATGAAGTTCACCCTCTGGGATTGTCCCCTCCCAGGCCAGCTAGAAAGTAGCTGTACTCCAGAGCTGCTCAGGGCATTTTTTCTGCACCACTCCACGTGGATTTTGGCAGAGCACTGCTGTGAGTAAGGCAGTTTCCCATGAGAGACTGGAGTTTTGCAAGGCTCAGGGGGCCCGTCAAGTCAGAGGCAGGACCACAGGACTCCTGAATTCTCCTTACTCACCTTCCCCACAGCTTCTGGAGGCTGCCGGTGATCTGTGTCGTGTTCTGGAGGAGAGTCTGTTTAATTCCAGCCCAGGTCAGTTGACTTTTAGAAAACTTGATCTGAATGGATATTTGTGTCTTTATTTCATTGCAGAAATATTAATGTGTTTCACGGTAGAGTGTTGTCTTCAATGCCTTTGGGGATATTACAATATATACACCATACCGGACTCCCCAGATCTGAATCCCAAACTATTCCTAGCCACAAGAGTTTCAGATAGGGCATTGTCAAGCTGTATGTATCTCAAAATGTAAACTGTAAACTGTGGCCATTGCTGGATGGTGAGGCTATATGCTCTTTTTCTTTTCTTTTTTTTATAAAGTTTTGCATTTCCCAAATTTTCTATACTATATACTACTGTTATAACCAGGAAAAAAATGTCATATTTAAAAAATAACATTGGGTAGCAGGCCCTTGTCCCTCCCTGAGCATATCCAGGTCATTGTACCATTCTTCTGTGCAACCTCTTGCATGTGAAAGGCTCCTGGGTGGCCTCCCAGGACTAGAGTATGTCATGGGTTCATTCTGTGTTTTCAGCTCTTCCCAGCCCACACCCTGCTCTGCAGTTGCAGCTCCTTGCCCTGGGCTTAGCACTCATTTGTTCATCCATTCCTTGCCCCCACGGAATTCTTCCACTGGGCTGGATCAAAGCCCAACACACTTCCTGCTTCCTCTGAAGGAGCATCCTTCCCATCCAACCTTGGCCATATCTCCAAAGGACGGAGCAAGTTCTTTCGAGGCTTGTCCACTCCTGGTTTTACCCCTATGCCTCTGAGATATTTGACCATAGCCTGCCATGGGCCCTCCTGCTGAGCCTTCTGCACCCTCTCCCCAGAAGTTCCACTAGTATGGAATAACATCTTGTTCCAAATCTTCCCCAGAGTAGACCACCACGCACAACCTTGAGTATTTTTAACTGTGCTTATTCTTTGTTTTGGTCAAAGCCATGCATGATAGAAATAGACAGAGTCTGGGAATGGACATATTACTCTTAAAGTAATCCTGGGCCCTTACAGGATCCTTCCTGGGCTGCAGTTTGTCGGTCTCTGCAGGCCAGGGGACCAACACATGGGCATGTACTTGTCTCAGAATGTTCCACCTACTTCTCTGCCCAGATTACATGGTTCTCCCAGTTGACTAGTGGGGCTGGCTTTAGCCAAGACTCCACCACAGACCAGTGAAACAGCTGGGATTCAGGGTCTCCACAAGCCACAATGTATTAAGATGCTCCTGCAGAGCATAACGGGAGAGCCCAGGGCTTTCACCAGCTCCAGCTTGCTCATACCTGGATCGAGCAAGGGGCAGCCAAATGCTGCCACCTACCAGGTGAATAGGAACAGGAGGCTCAGAAAGTAGAAGTGACTTGTCCAGGTCGCACTTATGGGGAATCAGTGAAGAAGCTGAGATCTGCACCCTCATCTGGTCTGATCCCAAAGTCCTTACAACCCCACTAAATTACACATGCCATATTCACCTGTGATCTCTAATGCTCAGCAACACAGCTACAGACAGAGTAGTGGAGTCACACTAACAGGATCCAATTCTGCAAGGAGCAGGCTTCTTATGAACTCTGCTGTGGTCCCCACCACACACATATCCATCCCCCACACACGCACACACAGTTTGCAGTGGCTGTCTTGTATTGTCGTTTCTATATTTGGAGAACTTCTTGGTCTTATTTTCTGGATTCTTTGCTCCCGTGGCCCAGGAGATGCAGTATATGTCAGCCTGCCTGGAGATTCTTCTGGCAAGGAAATGAGAAAGGATCCTAATTAGGGGGCAATAACTCCTCGGAGAAATGCGGATTCTTTACAGTTGGCTGTGTCCTTCCCATAAGCCCTGCATGTTTGTGAGATGTTTATAGAGCCTTCATTAACGGAGAGCTCCCTCAGATAAGCGGTCAAAGCGCGGCACCAAGGGCAAGATAAGAACAAGTGGTGGACAGTGCAGTCTGGGCCGCGGGTGAGAATGTGTGCTGGCGGAGGCGCTCCCTGCAGAGTGGACAGCAGGGCAATGTGGGCCCACTCCTTCCAGACTCCTCTCGGCACCTGCTAGCACACCGTAGTCACCTGCAGTCTCCTCTCCTAAAATGTGCTCCTGGGCGCTGTGGGTAGCCCTGCCTTTGCTGTCCCTGCTGGCCCGCTCCCTGCAGGGGAGGCCACTGGGGAACTGGAGGCTGGCATCCGCCGGAGACAACGCCCACAGCCCACTGGAGAGGCCCGGAGGGGAGCCGACAGAGCATACCTTCGACCTGCAGATGTTCCTGGAGAACATGAAGGTGGATTTTCTGCACAGCCTCAACCTGAGTGGAGTCCCCTTCCAGGACAAAACCAGAGTGGAGCCACCGCAGTACATGATTGACTTGTACAACAAGTACACTACCAACAAGTCATCCACCCCAGCGTCCAACATTGTGCGGAGCTTCAGCGTAGAAGGTAGAGTTGGCTTGTGTTGGGCACCCCGGGGTGGGGCTAACGGACCCTCAGATGCACTGCCCAGTGTGGTGGCTACTGGCCACAGGAGGTTCTTCACATTTTCATTTAAATTATTTACCATAAAATAAAATTAAAATGTAGTTATCTAGTCCTGCCAACTTCATTTCAAGTGTGCTTCCCTACAGGGCAGTGCAGATTGTAGAACATTTCCACCACTACTTAGAGTTCTACTGGGCAACTCTTCTCTGGAAGGTTCTCCTTCCTGGGCCGTGTGCGATATGGAACACGGAGGTAGGTAGGGACGCCAGCTCCTGTCTTCCACCTCGTCCCTTCTTCTCTCCCCTCTGCTCCCTTCTCTTCCGGTCCCTCCATCCCCTTTCCCTTTCTATCCCCTTCCTTCTTAGAAACAAATTATTTAGCCCCCAACTGGTATATTTTTAAACTTTGAAAGAATGTTTGATTCTCTTTTAGGGAAATATATATATTTTTTAATCAAGTAAAATTACTTAAAGGAAAATGTTGGAAGATAGCCTAATTGTTTTTTAAATAGAAATTTTCCTAATTTGGGAGGACTAAAAGATAACAAAGGCTTACTTAGGACCTATGCCCACTAACTCAGTCAATCTCACAAGACACAGGTGAAATGAATTTCTGAGCAGTAAAGCCAAAGCTCGCAGTCACTGAGGGCACTTGCCTAGGTCACTGATTAAATATCAGTGTCTGGATTCTGACCCAGGCCTGCCTGTCTGCAAAGTTCTGGCTTTTTCTGTCTCCCACTGAGCATCCAGGAACACAAGGCCTCTCCTCTCCTGCATTTGAGACCTGCAAACGCCTAAGAGGCCCAGCCCTGTGGCACAGCAAAGCCAGACCTGCTCAAGCCCACAGATCATGTGCCCCTCTAAAGGATGCTGTGGTTATGATGCATGCCCTATGTGCCAGATTTTCCAAAAGAAGAAAAATCAGAATTTTATGTAAATTTGCCTGATTTCTAAAACTCAAGTTTTATTGTCTTAAAAAAAGTGCAACCTAGAGGTCACCAGGCCCATGGGTCATGTCTGTCAACTCCACCCTTGGGGAGGGATAGGCTTCTTTGGCCTGAGCCTAAATCACCAAATCCCACAGGCCTTGGAGTCCAGCATTTGGAGCCCACCCCCCACTACCCACACCCAGAGCAGTGTGCAAATCCCAAGAAATGCTTATCAGATCCTGGCATTCCTGTGGATGTCAGTCCTGCATCCCTTCACAGATGGTCTCAGGGCGACTCAGAAAAAGGAGATGCTTCCTTTTAGATGTCTGACTGTGATATCACAGCCATTTTCAAGGCATGCCACACTAAGAGTGCATTAGGTCATGAATGCACAGTGCACACTGTGCAAACATAACACAGCATCAAAACACGTCCTACAGGAGTTGGAAAGACACAGCCATGCTGGGTGAGGGGACCACAGAGAGCCTGAGTGAAAGGCCATGTGCATTGTTGCATGCAGAGGGCATACACAGGTTGAGAGGAGGGTCGGGGGGGGGGAACAAAAAGAAATATTGATGGAGCATCTGCTATGAGCCAGGAACTATGTCTAGTGAGTTCCTTGTGCCACCTTGTCCAAGCAACTCTAGGAGGCAGGTAGGTTGAGCCCCATCTACAAATGAGAAAACTGAGGCATGGTGACACTCAAGACTTTCCAAGGTAACAAGCTAGTGAGGAGCAGAGTCAGGATTGGTACTTCCATCTGTCAGTCACCAATTGATGTTGGTCAAAGATGCAACATCAATTCCTTGTGCTTCTGAATGAGGCAAGGATAGTAGAAACGCACTAATGGCCAAGTGTCAGCTCAAGAGAAGTGGGAAACAGACAATTATGTGGCTAAAAGACAAGCCCCATTTTTGCCTGACATAGCAAAGCAATTGAGGCTAAATTATTTTTTCCTCAAACACTAAAAAAAATCATCCACTTTCACTCTGTTTGGAAGTAACCATTCCAAATTATTTCTGCACTGTTTAGAGCAGATGTTTAACACTGCCTTCATATTGGACATTCCTGCCCCCTCCCAGGATCACCCCTTTAAACCCATATTCTCACAATCATCACTCTAAGGCTAACAGTGCATTCTGCTGTTGTCGTGACATGAAGATATTTACTAGCTATGTGCACTTTGGCAGTTCAGTGCCCTGAATCCCAATCTCCACATCTGTAAAAGTGGAATAACAACTAGATCCTTCTAGGAAGAATTTAAGGTTTAAAGTGAAATGTATTATGCAAAGCTCCTAGTGTAATGTCTGGCACATAGTAGGTACTCACAACAGTAGAAGCTGCTGATCCCAGTTGGAGGCATCCTCCTGCCTCTATTTTTCTTTGGAAGGTCCATTCCGATGTGTTTGCATTTCAGATGCCGTCTCTATAACCACCACAGAAGACTTCCCCTTCCAGAAGCATATCTTGCTCTTCAACATCTCTATTCCCAGGCATGAGCAGATTACCAGGGCCGAGCTCCGACTGTATGTCACCTGTCAAAATCATGTGGACTCCTTTCACGAGCTGAAAGGAAATATGGTCATTTACGATGTTCTAGATGGAGCAGATGACTGGGAAGGTGCTACAGGGACCAAGACATTTCTGGTATCCCAGGACATTCGGAATGAGGGCTGGGAGACCTTGGAAGTGTCCAGCGCTGTGAAGCGCTGGGTCCGGGCTGACTCCACCAAGAGCAAAAATAAACTGGAAGTGACTGTGGAGAGCCACAGGAAGGGGTGCAACAAACTGGACATCAGTGTCCCTCCAGGTTCCAACAACCTGCCTTTCTTTGTCGTCTTCTCCAACGACCGCAGCAACGGGACTAAGGAGACCAGGCTGGAACTCAGGGAGATGATTGGTCATGAGCAAGAGAAGGTGCTCAAGAAACCATACAAGAACAGCTTTGCAAAGGTGGGTGACAGTGACAAAGAGGAGGCAGAGGGAGGTGACAGTGATGAAGAGGAGGACAGCCACATGGCCATGGGGTCCTCTTTAGCCAGACGGAAGAGGAGCATCGGGGCCAGCAGCCAGTGTCAGAGGACCTCCCTGCGGGTGAACTTCAAGGACATTGGCTGGGACAACTGGATCATTGCACCCAAGGAGTATGATGCTTATCAGTGTAAGGGCAGCTGCTTCTTCCCCCTGAGTGATGACATGACACCGACGAAACATGCCACTGTGCAGACCCTGGCACATCTCAGGTTCCCCACAAAGGTTGGCAAGCCCTGCTGTGTGCCCACCAAACTGAACCCCATCTCCATCCTCTACAAGGATGACAGTGGGGTGCCTACCCTCAAGTTTCACTATGAGGGCATGAGTGTGGCAGAATGTGGGTGCAGGTAGTACCTGCCTGTGGAGCTGGATAGGCAGGTGGAGGGGTCCTAACAAGAGGTCCTGTGTCACCTCTGGGTATGGCAGGGACTAAAGCAATCCAAATGGCAACCTGGAGGAGGAAAGGGAACCTGCTGTCTCGCCCATGGCCCACCCAAAGCACACATCACTAGTCTCAACTGCCAGGAAGGTGAAGGCGGGGAGAAGTAGGGATTTGGGCAGAACAGAAAAGCCGGGAAGGATTGCCAGGGTGGAAGAGAGAGGTGATAAAAAGGGGACAAGAGGAAAAATAATCTGAAATCAGCAAAAGATGGAGCAGAAGTGAGCCAAAGGAGCACAGACAGGTGACATGCAGAGATTTAAGGAAGTGAAAGGGGCCAAGGAGGACAGGCTTATCCAGTAATCTCAGGGAGTGCAGGGTACAGGAGCAGGCTGAGCTCTGCACCCAACATTTAATGTTATTTTCCACCACCAAGTGAGATGGGAATGATGACCTCCAATTTATAGATGCAGAGACTGAAACACAGGCAGGTCAAGTAGCACCAGTCAATGGGATGACTCCAACCCAGGTCTGCAGGATGCCAAAGCCAGGACCTTCCCAAGTGCCCCTTTGGAGTTTAGCAGGTCCTTCTGTAGTTAAAGAACAATGAGACATTGGGAACCTGGGAGCCTAGAGGCCACACCGGGCTGAGTCCCAGTCAGTCCATACCAGAGTGAAGGAGTCTACTTGTCACGCCTGGGATTTGGTCTCACTGCTGGTGCTTGTGCTCACTCAATGGCCAAATGCTTTTCATTATCACCCCTGAGTCACTGAAAAACTATCCAAAAACCAACTGCAGGACAGAAAGCAAGAGAGGTCAGAACAGCAGCCCTCTTGGGTCATGCATTGTGGTCAGAGCTACTTTGACCCACTGGTGCAGTGCTTGTATGGCCAGCAGTAAACACAGGGCCACTCACTGTCTGTGGACTGGAATTATGTGACAGCTGGCAGGGGGGCATGATTTTCTCTGAGAGATGGGACAGCTTACAGCCAGCATCTCGGCAGTTACTCAGCATAACCAGCTCACCAGTATAAGACACCTGTGGGTGCCCTCCATGATGACTTCATGGGAGCAGGGCTTGGATTTGAATTTGTTGAAATTAAATGTGCTTTTATTTTGGTATCTGAAATGCCCCTATTTTTACTCCTTGGTGACATGTACTCAAGTGATAAGATGTCTAGCCTTCCTGGGCTAGGGCTCCTCAGCCTCTGGACATCTCCAGTCCTTATCGGCTGCCACCAGCAATGCCTGCACTTGCTGGCTTTCTTGAGTAATGTACTTTCCAGCTCCTGTCCTGTGCCTAGACTGTATGACTGGACTCTGCCCTACTGGCCCCAGTGAAAGACAGAATTTTCCATTTCCTCTGTGTTTTGCTCTCTCCTCTGACTCTCCTGGCCACACACAGAATGGGATGGCATGAGGAAGAATCTGAAAGTGGTGAAGATTTTGCCCGATGACCTTCTGACCTCTGGTTAGAGGGAGGCCCAGGGGAGGTTTAGAAAGACCAGGGCCACTCCCACTGGTGGAAGCTCCCATATTAAAATGATTTGTGTTAAATGTCTACATGGAACCAATGAACAACTTTAACACAAAAATACAATGAAACATATTTAATTACTGGAGTAATAGAAATTATGAATTCCTGGTACGTACTAGGCAGTGTATTAATCACAATGCTGCCCAAAGTTGGCTAACAGCCGTCTTCTTTCAGTCTTGGTGGTGTATTTTTGTGCCTGCATGAAAGTTTCATTTGGAAATAAAGTCAAATGTCTAACCTGAGGCTCTTCCTGAACGTGAGACCTGATCCTGAGGGACCTCCAGGCCCATATGCTGCCCACACCACCCTCCAGATTCCACTGGAATGGGCCATCGCCTTCTCTGTGGAGGCAGAGGCATAGGCAAAGACATGCGACTGCCCCAGGGCTGGGTGAACACATGTGGACAGTGTCTGCATGTGAGGGTGTTTATATATGGGCTTCTTCGGGGAGTGGGTGGAGCTGGATGTCTGTGTATGAAGATATTTACAAGTCAAAGATGACACTTTCTGCCCTGCCTTTCTCATGTCAGGGCAGGGGGACTCTGCCTCTCAGTAAAAGATGCAAATAGCCTTAAGTCCCCTCTACCCAATGTCTCAGGGTTGGACCACTCTTCTGGTAGCGGTTCCACTGTGCCCCTACTCCCATACCCAGCTCCAACCAAATACCACCTACCTCCCTGTTCTCCCCTGGAGGGGGGCTGCTCTGGCCAGCCCCACTTTCAGCTCCGCAGCATGAGCTAATCTTCTGAGGACCCAGCTGTAGTACCACTGCCAGCCCCACATGATGCTCCTGTTCTGACCTTCCTAGCTCTGAGGAGGGTCACAGGTTCTGCTGCACAGATGTCACAGGTCTGGCACTGAGAGTACAACATCTTGTCTTGTGCCATGGGGGGCCATGAATCCCCTAGGGACAAGGCCCATGTGCCCCTCATCTTTGTCACTCCCAGAGGGACAGCATGGCCTGCAGCTCAGAACAAGTCAATTTGGACAAATGTGTGGTGGCAGAGCATACAAGGAGAGACCCAAGACATGACCTCTGACTTCCACGTAATTGGATTATTCTTTCTGTCACATTCCCAAAAGCTTGTTCTCTCACAGTCAGAGAGCAAAATGCAACATCACCATCCTCTGGACACCACAGTGCAGCCAGTGAACCCTCTATCTGATGACTACCACGTTCAATGCTGCATTTGTCACGTTTCCCTAAATCATTTCCCTTTTCATCATATCAGGATCTTAAATAAGCCGAAGCCCAGCAAAGCCAGGGGCCTCTCCCCAACCATACGTGGAGTTGGTAAAGTGGCAGAGCTGCCTACTGTACCTTTATGACCTGCCCTTTGTGCCATAGCAAGAAAAGAGAGGTTCTGGGATGCCAAATGGAAAGCAGTAGACAGACACACACTGGCTGCCCCCTGCCCTCCAGGCCCTACAGGGGTGGGCTACACCCTGCCCTAAGGAGGCATAGGAAAAGGAAATGCAACTGCCCCAAGGCTGAGTAAACCCAAGTATGTGAAACAGTGAGACAGAGAGACAGAGATTGGGGTGATGAAGAGACAGACAGACTGCCAGGAGCACCCTTAAGCACTAGCCCTGGCTCAGCACAGCAGGCAGTGGCTGAAAACAAAAACCCAGAAAAAAATAGATATTTTTATCCTGCCTTTTACAAACATGAAGGAGATGGAAGTTCTTGGAAGCCTTATACTTTACCACAGCCCCTAGCCAGGACCTGCTGGAGTCAGGTAAGGAGCTTCTGTTTGTGACACCAAAACTTCATCCTCTCTGCTGCACTATCTGCTATCCTGATGCTTTCTTCAGGGTCAAGGTCAAAGTGACACTGGCGGGAAAATCAAAATGAGGGCATGAATAAGATGAATAAGACAGATCCTAAGCTTTCCTGGACAAATGCTGCCCTATGTAGGTGCTGCCCTGTCTTGGATTCTGCCTGCCCTAGGTGTTGTTCTCCCTGGATTCTACCCTCCCTGGACTCTGCCCTCCCTAGACTCTGCCCTCCCTGGACTCTGTCCTCCCTAGACTCTGTCCTCCTTGGACTTTGCTCTCCCTCGACTCTGTCCTCCCTGAGCTCTGTCCTCCCTGGACACTGCCTTTCTGCTTATGAAAGATCCTCTGGTCATCCAAGCAACTACAGGGGACTTCTTACTTGACAAGAAGAGGTTCTGTCCTGTTAACAGGGTCTCTAAACCTTGTAGCTTTATGTGAAGAGATGAATCCCTGGTCAGTGCTTACCATCAGGATTCTCTCTTTCAAGTCTGGCTTAATTTCCATGAGGGTCAGGCCCACATAGGTGGGAGTGGGAGGCCCTGCCCACCAGACTCAAAAACTCTTTTGTTCTGTGCCTACAGAACTAAGGCTCTGGTCCTGTATCCAGTCAACCTGACCCGTCCTCTCTATCCTGGACATCAGCTGCTCCTCAGGGTCTTCCTTAGATTTCTGCTATGCCTACCCATGGGGCCTCTGCATCTGGGCCCCTGAGATGGGCCCGCTTGGATTAGAAGGTGCTTATACCATCATCTGAGATGGTCCTTACAGCAATCCCCAGAGAGATGGTGTTTGCTTCTCTATAGATGAGGAAGCAAGACAAGGGTAGCAGTACTGGGCAAACAGCAGGGAAGCCTGGGCCGAGCCCAACTCTGTGAGTGTGCCACTGCCATGACAGGCCTATAGCTGTGAAGGTGAGAATTGATAGGGAGAGAGATTGGCAGGGCTGTCCTGGACTTCTAGCCACAGGGACTTGAGCTCCAAGGACTCTGCAACGCATGGAAGCTCAGGTGTGTGGCTCGGGCAGGCGCTTGAGCCCTGTGCTTGGTTTAATGTTCTATTGTCTCCATCTTGAAATATGTAAGAATTTTTTAGCAAGAAGCCCACATTTTCATATGCATTCTGTCTCATTTAGCTGATTCTGAATGCATGTGTGTGGTTGGCATTTTGGTTTCCCAAGTCCCAGAGACACCCAGGAGACTGTGTCAGGCCTCAGGATAGCCTTGGTCTTGGCGAGACAGGAATCTGAGCTTTGCTGCCAAGAGCTTGCTCTGGTGTCTGACAGGCCTGCCCGCCTCCCCTTTGTGGGCAAAGAGAAAGCCCGAGGCTTCTCTGATTTGTGAGTGAAACTGCTCATCTCTCAAAGGCCAGTTTATTACATCCGTGTGGTGGCTCCTTGGGGAGGAGTCAAAGCTGCTGCCGCTCTTTCTCCAGCCTTCTCCCAGCCTTTTCTCTAAGGAGAGTACCCAGGAGATTGTGCCCAAGGCAGCAGTGAACACAGATGGCTTATGCTGGGCCAACCTGAACAAACCTTTCAGAACTTTTCCTTTCCAAATCCTAAAATCTGAGCTTTGGAAAAGAGCACAGACTCCAGGCAGAAATCTGCACACCATTGGCCTCAGCTTCCCTTAAATGCTTCACGCTCAGCTGCCACCACT